TCGTCTGTGCATGTTCTGGGCTGGCGCTGTCTTCCTGTGTGAAGCGCCAGACCCATTCGCACTATGAAACGATGATGATGATGTATGTTCAGGGCTGCATTACAACATTGCTTGTTCGGATCACTGGTATCCAAGTCTTCCGCTGTGCTATCTTATACTTTGTATTGAAAGGTCGGTTCTTGTTCTGGTCTGCACCTATACGGTATGCAACACTAGTACTTTCCCAACCCCATGGGTCACATTGATCGCCCGGATAAAGAGCCACTAATCAAAAAAAAAAAAGTGAAGTTCAAACTTTGCTTAAAAAAATAAATCGAAAAAGAAATAATAATAATTTCGAAATCGCAAGTTCGGTAGGTCTCCCTATCCAATACCAAAGTTGAAATAAATGAATAAAGAAATAATAATATTTCGAACTTCAGACTTGAAACGGTATTCACCTGTTCGCAGTAGCAAATGCAGATCCCAGGGCTCGATCCCTAGACTTTACCTTACCTGTGTACATTACCTGTGTCGACCCCGAGAGTTGAACCCGTGACCTGTGTATTCGTAACAGCTGGTAGACTGCTGTAGGGTCCGTAGGTGGTAGGGGTTCGATCTGTAGACCTGTTGTTTATAGGTCTAGGAAGTTCTAGAAGTCGTAGCTGTAGGACTTCTGAAAGGTCAAGGTCGTAGCTGCTACAGTCCTGAGAGGTCAAGGTTGTTGCTGCTACAGTACTCGAAAGGCCAGGACTCCAGACTTCTGGAAGGTCCTAATACTGGCCTTTCGAAGCTGCTCATGTTTAGGCTAAGGCAAGTGGGCAAGTGGTGGAGTTCACCCGTGCTGAGTCAGCAGTCCCAGTCCCAGTCAGTCCTAGTCCAGTCAAGCAAGTACCGCATGGGACTGTGTGCACCATGGGCATGGTAAAGGGCCAGACCAACGAGCTACAGAAGTATAAATCAAGAGGCAGCGCCCAGCCATTCATTCATTCCTGTGTAAGCCATGCGGAAGTGCTGCCACAGCGACTTGTGCGAGGTGGTCTGCAGTGAGCCCGAAGACGAAGTGGGCGAGAAGGAAGCTTAGCCATAGCGATAGGGTAGTAGCGGCCATAGCCGCCATAGAAGATAGGAGAGAGTAGCGCGTGTGTGTGTGTGTGAGTGTACATTGTGCTGCGTCTGGGATATCCAGGGTGATCCTGTGTGTGAACAGCTGCGTGAGTGAGTGACAAACAGAGACTTGTACAGGCGCTGAGGCACCATAGCCATTTGAAGTGAGCTTGTACGTGAACTGTGTCTCGGTTACCATATCTCTGAGTTTTGAGTGGGCGCTTGTCGCCAGTTTGCTGCGCAACCTGTTTACATGCATGTGAAGTGTGAAAGATAGCGAGTCTGATTGCAGACTGCAGATGTAACGAAAAAAAGATAAACAATCGAAGTGCAAAAAAAAAATAAAAAAATTGCAAGTTCGGGACGTTCCGAATAAAAAATAAAAAATAAAAAAAGTTTAAACTTTAAAATGATTTAAAAATCGGAACATGGGCCTTGTAAGAGAGATTTACCGAAAAAATCCGATTTGGAGAAGTTTAAACTTTAAAATGCTTTACTTTAAAATGATTTAAAAATCCGATTTGGAGAAGTGGACTCCCCAAAATACAACTGCGAAGAGAGATTTACCGAAAAAAAGAAAATTTCGGAACATCGAAGTAGCGAAAATTCGAATTAAAAAAAAATAAAGAAAATAAAAATTCCGGCTACTAATTAACGCATTATTCGAAATTAACGAAAAAAACGAATTAGCGCAAACGCCGCAAAGAGAGAATTCTGAAGATTAAAAAGGAAAAAAAAATCGGAATTTACTGTTAGGCAGAAAATCGCGAACAGAAATTAATTAGGTTATTCTAATCAATCAATCAATCAATCAATCAATCAATCAATCAATCGATCAATCAATCGGTCAGTCAATCAATCAATCAATCAATCAATCAATCAGTCGATCAATCAATCAATCAATCAATCAATCAATCAATCAATCAATCAATCAATCAATCAATCGATTGATCGGTCGATTCCCTATTCGTGCGTCAGGTCGGGTTTCGTCCTGATTCACTGAGCGCAGCTCCGATACCAACTGATACATGTTCAATCGAGCGACGTATACGGAGCCAAGGATCCGCGAAGTGATGAAAAGGATTCAAATGGACAATGCAGTGTCAGCAAAGCATCAACGAGCAATGTACATCCAGATACATACGAAAATAGCATAATGTAGCACAACGGAAGAGTCAAAGATATGACCTGAACTGTCAGATACTGACGCGACACCCCATCATACACCACATGTGAGAGAGAGCGGAGGGACCGCATACATGGAAGAAAGATCCCTCCTTGAGCACACACATGGGGAGATACCATGGATGAGGAGATAGGGGATAGGCGAGGCGAAGACGGAGGTGAGGGAGAATAGCAAAATCGCGATAGCAAAGTCCAAAAATAGTCTCCCTGCCGAATGTCCAATCATTGCCTGCCACAAAATGTCGAATCAGATCCTGGGCCTCATGGCCCAATGTAACCTCTGCCTGTAACCTCTCTCTCTCTCTCTCTCTCTCTCTCTCTCTCTCTCTCTCTCTCTCTCTCTCTCTCTCTCTCTCT